ATGAATTCGGTCATACACGAATCAACAGGATTCACGCCAAACGAGCTCCAAAACGGAGAAAACCGTCCGAGATTATTACCTGAATTCCTAGCTCCACTGGGCACGCCAGCTCTGTCACACGAACAGAAATTAATCTTAGCAGAAGCCACTTTAAAATCTAGAGCCGAGCGTAGGGCCATAAGTCACCCGGGACGCCCTTATAACAGGTATAGTGAGGGAGACCTCGTCCTGTTGAAGGCGAATAATATTTCGTCAGCTTTCCGATCGGAAACAAAAAAACTATTACTCCTTTTCGAAGGACCTTACAGAATTAAAAAGTCTGTTAGGGAGCATACTTACGTGTTAGAACATACTGATAAAAAGGCCGAACGCGGGATTTTTCACGCGAGCCACTTAAAAGTGTACCACCTACCACCGTAGCAATTTTTTTTCCATAGACAACTATACAGTGTTTTTCATAATCAAATCAACAGCTGTCCTACGTTTTCGCTAAATACTCAGGTTATATATCATATATCATATACAGGGTGTGATATAACTTTTTTGGAGGGGAGTCGGATGTAGCAGATCAAATGGAGATTTCCCGCTTCATGGTAAATGATCGAGGATCATTATTAAAATATTTTTCATTTGGTTGTAAGTGTTTTCAGATTTTCTCTTTTCACCTACTAGGTACCTCACCTTTGCCAAATCCAAATCGGAACGAACACAAATCCTAAAAATATCTTTGTCGCTCTCTAGCGTCGAGAGGCCGAACATTCCGAAATAAACTGTAACAGGATCTGTACGACAGAGTGCAAGCTTCGCGTATGTATTGGACGAGGACGCCACGTGCCCTACCTTTGTGAAAATTGTTTTTCCATTCAAATCCGAAAAAAGTGTTTCTACCTGAACGAATAGTTTTCTGACCATTTTGATACCTGATTTCATTCGGAACGCCATTGGGTCCTATATATTATATCGTTGAATATTTCTTTAAAATACTTTGCTTGGGGTTTGGAATACCCGACGTTTTCGTGTATGCACCCGCATTTATTTTAGGTGAGTCTTACCTTTGTATGATCAATTTGATGTTCATAATGATATTTTTTGTATGTATGTTCCTCCGCCATGTGGGTATTTCCCATTTAGATTCAATGTAAGATATACTTGAATTTATATTACATTTATTTTAGAGTCATCGATTCGATATAAATAAACCCGATTTCACCTCCAATTATTACGAGTACGTTTTCATACACACATCCAAGAAACCAGAAAACACGAACTCCCTGAGAGTTTTCTTGCAGATATAGGAATTTAAAAGAGAGTACATTTAGTATTGAGTATTTTAATGAGTGAAAGAAATGCCGGATGCGATTTTTTAAAAATTAATATCCAAGGTCAAATGCATTTGAATTGAAAATTTGATTTTTCTGCTACCTTTGAAACAACTGCCTATTTCTACCAATATTATGAGTCAACAAATCAAATAAATAACATATTCACTTATTGAGGTGTGTAAAAAAACAGGTACAATAAATCAGGCACACCTTCATACTATATGGTGAATTCATGCATGCTTAACTCAATATCTTAGTCTCGAATTAAGAATGAGGAGTGATTGTTCGTTGATTTCAGAACCATTTTCCACCAATCCCTTTCACTAATTCTTGAGTTAGGACTAAGTTATATCATGTATGATTTCCCATATTGAAAGCACCATGCAGAGAACATCGGATGACATCGGTGTACGAGTGATGAATCAAATTTCTTGCTTTCCTGATCTTTTTTTCAGTTTCTCCGATCATATTCCTAATTTTCCTAATATCAAATTTTGACTATAAGTTGTCTAAACGGAACTTGAAAAAACAGGACATTTACCTCCCAAGTGAAAAAGATAGCAGACAGCAGCCTCGAAAAAGAGTACTTGTACTATAAAATAGTACGTCTGGTCACCCTAGGTAATAATCATTTTCGTGATGTTTTTCAAACTACTAATACTTCACCAGCAGATTTTACAATCAAAAATAAGAAAAAAGTTCCTATATACATAGGTCGAACAATGTCTCATAAGAGAGCTACAACCCCTTGAAGGTGGTACCCTGAAGATGGTTTTTATTCTATATCTTCGAAACTGTTGATAGCAAAATTATGAAATTTTGCAAGTTTGCCAGTCTTTCTATGTCTAATAATATGCGATAATAATAATTTCAAACTTCCATCTAGAAATGGGTTAAACTGTGGGGGGTGGGGGTAAAATCACCCCAACTTTTTCAAGTGCGGTTTTTTTGCAACTTCAGCATGAAATTATGAAACTTCGAAGCCTTTTGCATAAAAAAGTTCCTATTGTTCAACTTCGATAGAAAGCACCGTTCTCGAGTAAAATCAATTTGAAAATTACTTCACATGTTTTTTTTATCGCTTGGAGCGCACGAAAGGGAATCCCTATAATGTTCAAAGAACATCGTGCGTTCCTAGGCAGGATAGGGACAGGAGATATTGGAGTTTTTTTTGAACTTTTGGAGATTATATGTTGTTGGGAATACTTCCACAGGCAATGAATTCCAGAGCCTAGCCGTTCTATGGATGAAGGAGTCTTGATAAAGTGCTGTCATAAAAATTCATAATGAAATAGAAAAATTCAAAATTTGAGGAAGGCTATGCACAACCAGTATGTTTGGGGAAAAACAATCAAGGCAAGTAACATGAAAATTCATGAAATAAGTGACAGAAGCATTGTAAATTTAACTAATTTATGGAAAAATACTTATTTAATTTATCTGAGCGACATTTTTTTCACTCAAATAATTGTTCTTTAATTTATAGAAAAAATACTTATTGAATATATCTGAGCGTCATTTTTTTCACTTGAGTAATTGTTTCAAGTGGCTTCCATTTTGTTGAATGCATAGTCGGGCCCGACGACTCATCGCTTGAGAAGCACGCAAAATTTGAAATTGGTTTAATCTAATTTCATTTGCAGCCTCATTTATTCTCCGCAGGAGCTCCTCTCGTGTGTTCACTTCAGTGGTGTACACCAGCGAATTTAAATTCCCCCAAAAATAAAAGTCCAGTGGGCTCAGTTCGGCAGATCGGGGTGGCCAAGCTATAGGTTCATTACGACCGATCCACCAATTAGGAAAGTTTTCATTGAACCATGATCTTACATTTCGCGCAAATTGAGCTCCTCTCGTGTGTTCACTTCAGTGGTGTACACCAGCGAATTTAAATTCCCCCAAAAATAAAAGTCCAGTGGGCTCAGTTCGGCAGATCGGGGTGGCCAAGCTATAGGTCGATTACGACCGATCCACCGATTAGGAAAGTTTTCATTTAACCATGTTCTTACATTTCGCGCAAAATGAGCTGGTGTCAAATCATGTTGATACCACATCATGTTTTGCAAATTCAAGGGAACATCTTCCAATAGTTCACCGAGATTATTTTGGAGGAAGTTCAAGTAACCTTCTGCATCGAGGCTGTTGGGAAGTTCAATAGGACCAATTAGTTGACCACCTATTATTCCTGCCCATAAATTCACTGAAAATCTTCGTTGGAAGCCTGTCCGTCGTACTAACCTGGGATTTTCGTTAGCCCAATGGTGTTATGCATATTGAATGCTCCATCTCTGGTGAGTGTGGCTTCATCACTCCATAGGAAGTTGGGAAGCAAATTTCCATGATTCAAAACCCACTGGCAGAGCTGTACTCTTGGCAAAAAGTCACTCGTCGATTATGATATCGGTAAATTCCCTGCATCCGAACCATTCTTCCTATCAAAAAAAATTTCACGTTTCATTTCAATTTCATGAATACCAACTCAAATCATCATTCATTACTGTTGCCTGCGGTATTTTCGTTAATCTGGATACCGTTCTGATGCTTATTTGAGGGTCATCTTCGAGATGGTTCAAGACATTTTCAACTGCGTGATTTTCTTGGTGCCTACCCTGTCCGCGTAAACGTCTAAAGTTGCCATTTTCTGTCAAACGTTGATGTATGCGGGTGAAAATTTGACGTGTGGAAGCTCTTCGGATTGGGAATCGTCGTCGGTATTCATGTTCAGCCGCCAGAGCACGGCTATTACAGAAGCCATACAAGAAGTGCATGTCTCGATTTGTGAATCGTTCCATTTTTACAAAACAGTACTCAATATACCTTCTTAATTAGCTTTGAACACAAATTTCAAACCTCCTGTCATGTATCTGTCACCTGTTCCGATTGTTTTTCCCCAAACATTGTGGTCATGTTCCATAGCCAACGCTCAAATTTCGAAATTTTCTAATTTTATTATGAATTTTCATGATATTTGAAGTAATTTTCAAACGATTTTACTCGAGAACGGTGCTTCCTATCGAAGTTGAACAAGTGGAACTTTTTTATGCTGAAGTTGCAAAAAAACCGCACTTGAAAAATTTGGGGTGATTTTACCCCCACCCTCCACAATTTGACCTATTTCTAGATGGAAGTTTGAAATTATTATCATCGCATATTATTAGACATAAAAAGATTGACAGACTTGCAAAATTTCATAATTCTGCTATCAACAGTTCCGAAGATATAAAATAAAATCCATCTTCAGGGTACCACCTTCAAGGGGTTGTAGCTCTCTTAAGAGACATTGTTCGGCCTATGTTTATAGGAACTTTTTTCTTTCTTTTGATTGTAAAATCTGCTGGTGAAGTATTACACGCTAATTATGGGACACCCTGTATCTAACCATGCTGTTAAGAAGGATGTGTAGAAATATGTGATTGTAATTGGCGTGGTAGAGAAACAGATAATCCGTCATTTTGGATTCAAAGTAGTAGGTGGAATAGTGTTTAAACTCTTGTAGGTTATAAGTTCTGGGAAACATTTTCCTAGGTGAAGAATTCCAATATTTTGCCATACCATAGACCAACAATTGTTGTTCGAAAAATCTCGAGGTTGGCGACAAAAGGATGTGCTGACTGAGCTTGACGAGTTCGTCTTACTGGTATTACTAGTCATGAATAATAGCCGAATTTTTTTTTGTTTCAGGAGAAAGATTTCATAGCCAAAAGTACTCCAGATCTTCATTATAATAAAGGGATAGTAAGTATTTCAATTACATCTAGATTGATTAATTAAATCTCATTAGATCTATTTCATCTTCATCCTGGCAGACTCTGAAGTATGAGGAAGAGTTCAAATTGGCATTGGAATCTTTTAACGAGGCTTCATTATATGATCCTACCTGGGAGCCACCAAGAATCAAAGAAAAGCAGCTTGTAAAATATTTGACTGATATTAAAGAATTTGTTTCGACAAGTGGAAAAATGAAGGCGAAACGTTTGACGCAGATTTTACAGGTGATATTGTGTGATTTTTCTAATATTTCTTTAGGCTGTGAAATTATTTTTCACCTACTTCCGTACACGAAATTTGAGGTTACCTAGTATGTGGCGTCATTTAAGCCAAAAATGTATTATCCGATATACAGTGTGATAAAGTTGAAAAAATCAGATGGAAAAGTAGGAATTTTGTAAAGAATAATCTCAGTTCTCAGAGCATGCTGTGATTTTTCACATAGACATAGTAGCATAGCAAATTATAAGCTATTTTTAGGTTTACATACCTCAAAAAGAAAGGATAGAATAGCGAATTTGAAACTCAATAATTTCTCCTAACCAAAAACAAACCAAACAAGATTCAAGAATATGACAAAGGAAATAATACGGAGTAAATTAGTGCTATCAATGCTTTAGTAATAAGATGTTCCTTAACTGCCTATACAGGCAGCATTAACTAATTCACTGAAAGCTGTAAGATATATATTTCAACCGTTCTTGATCAATTTTTTTTCGTAAAGTCTTGCCTTCAATTATTACCATAGGTTATCCTTGAATATCAATGAAAAACATCAATTCATTAGTCACAAAGTCATAACAATTTAATATTACAAGCTTACTGTTTTAATGAAGATTCAGAACATTTTCAGAGAATCAGCAACATTTCAACAAAAAAGTGGAAGATCGTTAAGGATTTTGACAAGAGTCATATCACTATTTATTCTTAAGTTATAACTTATACAATACGGTGTACACTTTTGAAATAGATTCGAGGTTGATTCAAAGTTGGAAAAACTGCTTCTCATAACATGCTTCAGTACTCGAGACTTGGGATTAAATATAGTTTCAGCTAGAAAATTATTCTTTACTGATTCTCATAATATGTTATCCGTTATCTTCAAAAATGTAGGTAAGGTTCTAAAATAAATCTAATAATATTTTTGATAAATAATTTGGAAGAAAAAATTGTTCTTGAATTAGGGGCTTCTAAATATTCTACTAATAAAATTAATTGTAAGGTCTGCCAATTTCACATACAACATTTTCAACAAAAGTCGGTGTTTCATCTCTTGGAGCGCACGAAAAGAAAACCATATAATGTTAGTAAAACATCGTGCGTACCTAGGAAGAGGAGGTAGGTATTGGAATTTTTCTAGAACCTTTGGGGATTACAAGATCTTGGGAATACTTCCTTTGGATTTGATTCTAATCAAAATTTGAATTTGATTCGATTCAAAATTTGGATCTGGGGTTTTCGAGGTCGGAGATTATGATTTTTTCGTCAAAATTTGGAAATTCAAGATGGCGGACGAGTTTTATAATAATTACTTTCCGATTCTATTCATAATGTTCATCTAGGGGTTTTCAGGGTCGCAGATTATGATTCCTCCGTCAACATTAGGAAGTTCAAGATGGCGGATCCAATATGGCAAACGAGTTTTTATTATGATCCGATTCTATTCAAAATTTGTATCTGGGGTGTTTCGGGGTCGGAGATTATGCTTCCTTCGTCAAAATAAGGAGATTCAAGATGGCGGATCGAATATGGTGGACGAGTTTTGTAACTATGATCCGATTCTATTCAAAATTTGTATCTAGGATTTTCCCGGTTGCAGATTATGATTATTTCGTCGAAATTGGGAAATTCAGGCGAAGTCAAAAGGAGTAGAAAATAACTAGTAGTTTAAAAAACTGAAGAAACATGTTTTTATAGATAGCCAAACTAAAAAGAAGTAGAAAATAAAATAATAATAGTGTGATGATGAATATTCAACTAAAAATATATTTTCTAGAAATAATGCTTATAGCAAAACAACGTTCTCGCTGATCAGCTAGTATTTACAGGAAAAATAGTATCATGACTTGTTTTCGTATGACTATTTGATGATTGAATGAGATTTTCCATGATTGATAATACAGAAATTTGTGTCATCAACATCAAATAATCACTATTTTCTCAGTCGATAGATTCCAGACTACTAGGACCTTATAATGGTGGCAGCTATACCTCATCAAATGGTCAAACTGTTAAACTTGAAGATGTAAAATTAGACGATTTGAAAGCTGGCACAAATGAAGAAAAAGTGGTAGTAGGAAAAGTTGTATGCTCGGTGAGGAATGAAGATACTGTGCCCTTGTGAGTAACTTACATTTTGAATTGAAAAATATTTCAAATGTTTCTGATTAAAAAATTCCTGTTCATTTCAATAAGCCTGATTAACTGGATATGAACTCCAAATGTATTTCATGCAGTGGTCACAATTATTTTTCATCATAAGGAACAATTAGAAAATGTGAAAAAATATGACATTTTAAACGTTAAACACTGATCGTGTGGATATAACGGATCTCATAAATCAAATTCGTCCCAATTTTTGGTTATATCCCAAGTATGGGCAATTAACTCTACCATTTTCTATCCAATTATGTAATTTGTAAAAAAATTATCCTAACCGAAAACATTGCCACTGCATTTCGCCGATAGAAAAAAGACGAGAGGGGAAACAGTGACGTCAGGCAAGAGAAATATAAGGCAACTTTATAGAGTTGGGAAGTAATCTTCCGACATTATTGCCGATTGAATGATTCGAGGAAGAATAAGGCAACTTTATAGAGTTGGGAAGTAATCTTCCGACATTATTGCCGATTGAATGATTCGAGGAAGAAGTCTTGTTTTAATTGATTTTAATTAATTAATATTCGACATTATTGATTGAAATTTGATTCATTTTCTATTGTTTCAAATATTTTTACCTGACTAGGCCCATCAAAACTCGTCAATTTTTGATTTGTTTTGTTTGTTCTAAAATTTGTTCTATCCGTCATTCGGTTGCCCCCTTACGAGCAACCCTCAAAAGTCTTGTGCGAGCAAGGAATGACGGGGGCCTTACCTTTTAACGTGTGATCCCAAACACTTTCTTGGGCCATCAGAAAAATTTCTGCAGTCGACGGGGATCGAACCCACGACCGGCAAGCGAATGCGAATTAGAATATAGACACTCTGTCCGCACGGCTACCTGGCCACCAATCAACCAAGTATCATTTTGCTTGCTAGTACACACATTAATTCTTATTGGGATCATGCAAAAGAGTAATCCATCCATTTCGAAATATTTTTTAAATATTTTAAATACGAGTATTTCTGTGAGATTCGATGTTGATTTGAATTCCGTGTCAAATTTATTCTGTAAAATCATTTTTCAGTACATTCTGCATGGTAGATAAAAGTAGTACCTGCGTGGTGGTAACAATTTTCAATCTGGCTGATGGCAAGGGTGTGATAATTGGAGATTCCGTAGCTATTCCAGAACCGTATGTGACTGATGTTGATTTCAACTATAAGGATATTGTGAGTATTCAAAATGGGCTACTATGTTATTTTCACAACCATTCATTTATTTTGGCGCGAAGTCAAACCAACGTCGGCTGAACGAAAATAATGGTAGGTTCTATAGCTAGTGGTGGAAAAATTCAGTTATATGAGGATGGGTCTAACTTGAAACGTTGTTGCTCTAAATGGAAACCTAGTAGGCGATGTATTATATTGACTGTTCATTGAAAAAGAAAATACAAAATTCGCCCTTATCGATGATATGTTTAGTAAGCCAGTGACCTCTATTTCAATCTTAAGTTACTCTTTCGTTATCCTAACCCTAGAAAATGTTCATATTCCTGCCATGTTTCACCTTTCTGTCAAGTTTGTATAGAGAAATTGCTCATGTTGAAATTAGTCACTGGATAGTATTAGTTAGAAAAGAGTTCGGACACAGAAATGAGAACTATTAGTGTATTTGAATGTTTATAGATTTATTAAGTTACACACCTTGTATTGTGACAAGAGCACCTTAGTCGTCCCGCGCTATTTAATTCAAAATTGTTCGATTTTGACAATAAATTTTATGAACGTCAGAATTGAAATATAATTTCATCAACTATTGAGAGGAAAGCATAAATGAAAATGTTCTGCTGTGTGATGAATTTTAGGAATTCTGAAGAGAATGGATTCCATTTAGTTAATTTTCCGAAGGAAATATCGAGGGAAATATCAACCATTCTCTTATGGAAGGAATGTATGGAACGGTCTGGAAGGAAAATTAATTTGAAGACAAGCAAAATTTGTGAGGTACATACATTAAAAGTCACTTCTTATAACAGCAGATTAAAATGAAACCGAGAATGAAACTATATTTAGGCCCACTTTCGAACAGAACATTCTAAGATCCTTTCGAGAGAATTTGCTGTTCCATCCATTTACAAAAACCCTTTTAAAAAATTTATATTATCGTCACACGCAATGCCAAACAAAATTATCATAGGGAAAGAGGAATTAATTACAAAACTACCTACGTAATGCAATTGAAAATTTGATCAAGTAAATTGCACCGTGACATATCATTAATTCGTCTTCAATACTGACCGAACTAGCTATAATTGAATCAATTTGTGTCTATTTTCTCATATTAAATATTGTTACATTCTTTTCATTTCTATAACTACTGTTCTGCGAAATGTGCCGTATATCTCTATACATTGGAGTGGGTGTTTATACCCATTTTCTATTTTCTATCTACGGCCACTCGGCAATTAGGCGCTAATAGGGAAAAACCATGGTAATATAGAAAATAGAAAAGGACAAAAGTTCAGCTGTGTCCGAACTCTCATATACTAATACCATCCTGTGACTCTAGTTGAAATATTTGAAGTATGAATAACATTGTTCATGGTTACACATATAATCAAATTAAAGCAGGGTGCATAAAGAATAAACATTGTTTATACAATGATAAAATATTGATGCTATTCGAATTTGAGTAGAAACTGGCAACTTGAAAAAAGTTTCCGGTATTTCCAAAAAATCTGGTCCACCATATTGGATTGTAATGTGATCAAATCCGAAATGGTTGCTCATATAACTGTACCATGATTCAAAAAAATCGTTTACGAATGCAGGAGTTACCGGGATGGCCCGATACCCTACTTTTCATTCGGAATGACATTGTTTCAAGTAAGAAAAAAAATTTTTCACGTTTCCATTTTTGTTCTGCAGTTCAGCTTCCTATTCGCGAGATTCATGAAGTGGGCGACATCTAGGTTACATAATATAAACTTCAAACTGGGGGAAAACAAACTGTTGTCTATGGATAAAGTGCTTAGACTACATTGTATTCAGCTTGCTGTAGCTGTAGTCAAACTTGTCAATAACATGAAGTGTTGGCACTGTTGTTAGTGATGATGATCGAGTTGGTTGATTTTTTTACATTATTATATTTTTATTAGTTTAGTGAACAGTGAACGGGTGAACAATTGGAGATAGTTCAAACAATTCAAACTAATTATGACGAGCAAATCAATTGACATATAAAAGAACAGCTACAACATGTTCACAATACCCAGATTGTCCTGCTTTTCATGAACAAATACAAATCCATTGTTCTACAGGAGTTCCTCTGGACCCCAACTTTAATTTTACTTCATGTGGGGAAGATTTCATCGCCAAAGTTTGTAGACAAAGTGCAAAAATGTGCCTTTTGTTGAAGTTTTCTGCCTCACACAAAATCACATGATTAGCACGGAGAACTGCTTCACCTTCCACTACTGGTCGGCTTTTTCCATCTAAATAGAGCAAAATATCTGCCAAAACAACATCTACAACAGGCATTATTAGCGTTTTCGATGGAATATGGACAATTAATGTCAAGAAATTCGAAAACTTATCACTCATATCAGTATACAGTACACAAGCTAATAGCACTAATAGGATTGAGTAAGGATTGAGTTTGTTTTCCCCCAGTTTTGACGTGGCTTTGACATGGAACGATGAAAACCGAGCGCCACCTGGTAACATTGATTCCCATGAATACGTATATGAGCGTATAAGAGTGTTCTTAATCTATGGATTCAAAGATATCTTGGATTCTTAGAACTTTTAGACAATTTTCATTAGTTGAATAGTTGTTTTATTTTCAGGACTATAAATTTAGACTGATACGTGTAGAAACTCCAGTGATATTGGTTGTGAATGGTAAAAAAGTAGGAAGAGAACTCCAAGCAGGTGTTCAGTTGTCAATATTCAAAAAATTCGAATGACATTTGTCCCTTTCCACTACAAGAGCGACAGTTCACCATGTAATAAAGAGTTAGTGGATCCATAGAGAGCAGCCGAACATTATTAATCGAATATTGAAGGAATATCAAATTTAACATTCCCTTTCCCAACATCACGAGACAAGTAGGTATAATGAAAATTCTTGAGCTGGTGCTAAATTTGTTCAAAATCAGACTGTGAAAATTGTTTTAATGATGTTGATTATGTATATTGGATTTTTTTAAATATTGCCCATATTTTCTCCTTGATCTCATTGGATTGATTCTTAATATTTGATTTTATAAAAAATATTAAGTGATTCTCACTAATAATTATTAATTCTCATACTTATTTATTTTCTTGTTTTATATCATGTATCGAATTCATTCAATAATAGTTGTTGAATAACCAAACTTTTCTAATTTGTAACTTTTTATTTTGTAAATAAAAGACATGAAAATTCTTTGTTTAGCATTTATTTATGGATTCATATTCTTTTTCACTTATTGAAATTACTGTAAATTTCACTCCATACAAGGATTCTTGATGTCAATTTGCTGTATCTTATTAGATTAGGTAGGTACACATAATAGTTCAAAGGAAGTTAGTTCCTTATACAACCGTTCACTCTGAATGGTGACTTTTTTCATATCTCGTTCTGCAATTTGAAAAAATTTCAGTGATATTGCAGAATATTGTTATTCCACATAAAATGTTAAGTGACCAAGCAAATAAGTTATGATCATTGAAAATATTCATCTTTTTTAGTTTTAGAGATACCATTCATGAAATAGCAATACTGTCCCTACGGTATTGTCGGTATCCTGATGTAATATGTTCAGAACCTCGAGACATTTCTATGACCACTGTATACAGGGTGAGTCAGTTTTTTTGTAGCAGGACTCTAACAGCTGAGAGAAGACATTTTTTCAAGATAAAAATTCAATATAACATATATGCGTGGGAACTTCGTTTCCGATATACAGTGTTTTAAAGCTTTTTTTGTGTTTTTCCAATTTCCTCCTACGATTTCCAAAATAATGAATTGAAATTTGGTACACCTTGAAAACGCAATATTTGGGGCTATCAAGCGTTCTTGAATACCTACAGGATGATACACTTTTGAGGGTCGTACCCGAGTTAACCCTCTCGAACTATTTGCCTACCTACTCTGTTTTGGATACTTTTGCTCTCTTTTGTTTCTTCCAAAACTGTATGGGTTTCAAGATAAATGCCAAAAATAATTTACTTGCAACGAACCTATTTTTCGGTTCCGTATTTTGTAGCAGGATTTTAACAGCTTTTTTGTTTTAATAAAAACCTTCATTTTCGATATACAGGGTTTCTGAGTTTGAGATTTTTCATGTGTTTTTCAAGTTTTCTCCTAGATTTTTCAAAATACTTGGTACACCTGGTACACTTTCAAAACTTGATATTTGAGCGTTCTTGGATACCTACAAAGTGATACATTTTTGGAATTGTGCTAACTTTGAAATCCTGTATATCGGAATGGAAGCAAGCTTTCACGCATGTATATTTATACAAGATTTTCATCTTGAGTTTCCCTTGAGCTATTGAAGTCCTGCTACAAAAAACTGACTCACCCCGCTTATTATTTAAAATGACCTCGTTTCTAGATAATTATACTGGCCCTCAATGGGTCCTTAGATTCGAAATATAGACGAACGTCGTTGACAAAGAATGGGTTCAAAAGTCAAAATTTTGCTCTGTATGGCAATTGATAATGAATTTCATAAGAGGTCTCGAGCTTAAAGTAGCGGGAATCCGGAACATTCGTATTTTACTTCGGATATTCACAAAAACGACATTCGTTTTGTTACAAAACATACAATTTCTACGAATATCACCTGTAGAAATATTGGCGTATCTATTCAAATTCCAAACGTGAAGGAAATATACGCAAAACAAGTAGCATCAGCAATACCAGCATCAGGTGATAAATACTTCATCATTTTCAATTTATAATAAAGGGTCCGGACGATTTAATAGGGACAGTATTGCTTTTTCCTAAACGGTAAGAGGGACTTGATTAAATTTGGCATTATTCGCCTAATTTGAACCTCTTTGATATGACGTTTTGTAATTTGGAAAAACGTCAACCGTTCCTGAAATATTCAGAAAAACTGAAAATCACTGATTTCGTTTTTATTTATTTTCTTGGTTAATATTAGCGGAAACAATTTGAAATTTTGTGTAAGTGGGTAATTAATCATGAAAAAGAAGATGCGATTGCCAGAAATATTCCATCTCCATTATTTTCAGAGATTCAGCATGCAACTTTTGTTTTTCTCATGGGTGCCATATTTTTTTATACGTATTATATGAAAACTGTGAAAACATTTTCAAATGTGGTAGGCCATGATAAACAAAATATCAGTCGTCATGACTACAAGTATCAATACTTCTTCATAGCCATGTATGGATAACAGGCTACAATTATTATTATGCAAAAAAGAGAAAAGGGCAGAGAAAAACCAAGGATATCTTTTTTAATAATCAAGATTCGTTGAAGTACAATTGACTCGCCTTAAAAATCATAATAATAACTTTATAATGTTTTGCCCCAGGAGCTCAAGGTTTTGAATTTGAATTGTTTCAAATCAAAATTGAAACGTCATATCCTCCGTCACTGTTTTTATTCCATTGACAAATATCTGAGGACTCCCCTCGATGAGTCCTTATGAATGATTGTTATTCAGCTATAATTATGTCACTGATTCCAGTTTGTTTTATTATTCGATTCTTTGTATTTGTATGTATGACTTTATTCTACTACTTTTAATGCGTTTTTTATTCCACTACATTTTAATGTGTTATTTTATGTACTACATGTCTACCTGCCAAAAACATAACATTTGTAACTTGGTGAAAAAAATATTCTATTCTATTTGTGATGATTTCCACGTTTCTAGAATGAATTTTGATATCAAATTCAATGTTTGAAGATAAGCGAATTCAGTAACAAACCCATAAAATATTGAGAACAAATCAATGATCATTGATAATATAATCAAATGTAACTAAACTATGTTTTCTTGGTTTGTCTGTGCATTTTTCTCATTTTCGCATAATGATGTAGCATGTTATTCATGACTATGAAGAAGTATTGATACTTATAGTCATGACGACTTTTATTTTGTTTTCTTTTTATCAGGGCCTACCACATTTGAAAATGTTTTTACTGTTTTTAGGCGCTGTTTCATGTGAAAATGTCAACATGTTATACATGGCTGTGATGGAAATTTTTAGCTTTATTCAATGGAATCTCTGAAAATAATTGAGATATAATATTTCTGACAATCTCATCTTCTTTATCACGATTACTTACCTACTTTACTTAAATAAAAACGAAATCAGTGATTTTTCAAAATATTTCAGGAAAGGTTGATATTTTTTCAAATGTCTGCAATACGTCGCATTGAAGAGGTCCAAATTGATCAAATTTTTGTCTAATTTAATATATCTCTCACCGTTTTAGGAATTAGCAATACCACAGTGTCCCTATTAAATCGTCCGGACCCTGTATATCGAGTTTTACTCGAAGAATTTTTCTGGTGTGGATTTGAAGGACGTACAAGTTTACATAGAATTTGGATTATATAGAAAATCAACCTCAGAAAAGTTATGTTTAAAATGACTCGGTACAAACCGTCTGACTAGCGCCCTCTATGAGAGTCCGATATAAAAACAAATTTAAGCGAATTATCAGCTTCCAAAACATATTCATAGACAATTTTATTACAATGTTACCAGTAGTTTCCACATGATCGTGGAAATATGTATATATATGTTTTTCAATACCTTTTGTCTTGAATACGAATGTCATTACAAAAAACTTTTCATCAAGCAAACCCAACTTATTTTGTAGTGTTCTACCGATTTTAGCAAGGCAGCCATTTTCTTTTGAAGAACCATGTATATCGAAGTGAATTTATACAGGGTACTTTGAAGAATACCTATCACTAAAAACATTGCATGAAATTGAATTCTTCTGAATTTTATTCTCTAGGTCTTTTACTCAGTATAACATATTTTTATATACATTCCTTGCAACAAAAGTTCCCATTCGTGAGGTTTTCTTAGTTTAAAGTCATATTAAACATTTATTGGGATGTATATTAATTTGGTGTCAACATGTAACTTGGAAAAGCTCTAGAATAGGTACCTAAAATATCGAGTTCCCTTTTGATACAATTCTAGTATTCATTTCATTTCGACCACTTAATTACTAACGAACATTTTCAAGCAAACATTTTAGAGTGACGGGATCAGGTTTTGTGAATGGACAAATATTTCAAATTGACATCAAGACACCCAACTTCACCCTAGTTCGAGTTGTCATACTGGACCTGAGTTTAAAATGTTCCAATATTATAAAATATTCACTGGGCTCTTAAGGATATAAAAGTATTACAAATCACTATCACTACACATATTAATATTATCACATTTGAAGGAAGTCTGATGGTTCTATACAATATCCCATCAAGTTTAATATAAATTAGGTAGGTGAATGTTGTAGGCTAAATCGACGTGATTCTGAGATGAGTTTTACTTTAGCAATGTCAAAATGATCGGGAACACTTGTAATTTTCAATTAACCTTGAGTCTTTAGTTCCTGTCAAGTGACAACGAGTATGAAAGTTCAAGCTGTCATGGCACATCAAAAGTATCTATTCTTCCTATGTTTTCATCTCAGAAATCGTTCGACAATATGCCATTGATGAGTACCTATATTATATATAGGTATCAAATTATAAATCAAGCAGAAACTGAAATCCTGAAAATATTCTTGTAGGTAGGTAATGGTAGGTAGGTACAATTATCTTATACATATCTCAATTTCAGTGTTTTGAAGCATTACTTCAGTATTCAGGTGTGTTATGCCGATCCTTTGGTATTTTATAATTTCAATAATCAGTTCGACATTGAATGGCATTCAAAGGAATGAACTTATAGGTTCGGTTATTTAGCCTTGTTTTCAGACATACCCTCATAATAATTATATCCTCTTCACAATATCTCATTATGGATTGACTGTGAATTATTATTTTCATAACCGGTATCAACACATTTCGTTACTTAGACCCTAAAATCATAAATTACTTTCCCACAATTTCAAAAAATTGTCCAAGACCTCTTCAAACCACATCCTCTTCAATGGATCCTTGAAAGCAGGTGCCAAGGTTTTCATGTTCATTTCTAAAATCGCCTCGTTCCCCAGCATGTTGTTGAGTCTACTTAACAATTTCGGATCACCTGGAAGAGATATTTATATTCAATTTCTTGTTTTCACGAATTAATATTTTGTGAAAATTGAATACGGTTCGCCAAATCGCATACGAGGACGCCGATTTGTAAGGGCGTCACAAAAGTTATTCTGACTATTTCGACCAAGATTCAAAGGTATTGGTTTATTAATATCTTTATGTACAGGGTGGGTCAAAAATGTGTACCGAGCGTTCTGGAGGAAAAATGAGTAAAGTTTGATAGATAAATCAAAGTTGAGAAAATTGAAACCTAAACGATGAAAAATGCCGCTAGATCGAAATTTTTACATAAATGTGTATGTTGTTACATTTATGATATTTTTTCAATGGGTGTTTTTAGAGGGTGAGTCATGATTATTTGGAAACAACTTCATTTTTTTTTGTGGTAAATTGAGCAGATTAATTCATCGGTTACAATATTTTAGGTGGCCGCGCACTTCTTTTGGTCCGCCACCGTTCATCCTCAAAATTGTTTTCAAATTTGGAACATGTTGAGCAAGAAACATCTCTGCATAACGTTTTAAATAACCTGCCATTTCTTGAATATCAGTTGAAAATCGTAGTAATAATATCACTAAGAAAATCAAACAAGGAAATTATCAACAACAATAACAACGTTAATATCATAAATGTCAAAATTAAAAACAAAATTGGCCATGACCTCCTAAAGTACCCACGGCCACTATAGAAAGTAGGCAATAACCAGGGCCTCAATAACACACGAGATACAACCTCAGTAAGTACAACCGCGAAATCGCGGCCTATAGCGGATGACATAACTGTCAAGAATTATAATTCAGACTGTTTGTCCAAACTTTTTTGATGTACTATATGACAGTAGGTAAAGTATAGTACGTAATGCGTGTCTTAAATGGGGTTGCCACCTTTGGAAATCTGTCGATCCGGAGATTGTGATACAATTGAGGAGCCTCATGAAAACTCGAATGGAAAAATGTTTTCGGTTCAAGATCAACTGCCCCTGAATTAAAATATTGAATGACTTGATGCCATAGACCTTTGAAAATTACTACCTATACAAGTGAGTACATGGAAGATTATGAATTGAAATGTTTTCATTAAACATAATTGAAAAACAATTCACAAAAATAAAAAAAATATAATATGGAAACATAATGACAATTTATAAAGAAAAACGAATAACAATTCATGAATAAAGAAGTAACTTATTCTTTGAATTTGAATTTATATTTTGTGTTCGAAACGCATGATATTAATAAACTTTTTGTTCGGTTTTAGGCAAGCGAACATATCGGAATATAATTTCGTGCATAATTTTACCTCGACTTTGATTCTCCTCCACGAAATGAACCAAACCCAGGAGTAGTTTTGAATATATTTAATATTTTTTCGGGCCCGTACTGGCCCGGAGAATTGAGTATCCCACCCGGAGCCGGTAGGAGCCCTACTGGAACCTGGAGAGTCCGGGTTAAAACCTGAGAGGTGGCAACCCTAGTTGTAAAGCAATTACGCACTCAAGGAATTACGCACTCGCGTAACTTTTCCATTCGTGCGTAATATGCCTCTTACAACACATATTAATAGTGATATACTATTTTCTCTCATTTTTGATATATTCTCTTCCTTTTTCAATGGGTTTCATTCTACCATTTTTTTTTTCGGTTCAAAAAATGATACAACTTTATCTAATGACCTTGGCGACCGCGAATAGTGCGAATTTTCAATTTAGTATTACGCACCCTTCGTTTTTTGTGCATGGTGAAACAGTGTATCGCTCACTCGCCCCTAATTACTTGAAATAGGTAGGTGATCGATATAACGATGCGGCGTCCTTCATACATTCTCTAATGCACCATTCTTCATCCAAAGAAACTAATTTTACTTTCGTTTATGAATATTTATGTAAATTCAAGTGTTGACCCTGGATAGTATGACAAACAATGCATCTACCCAATTGCAAGGTTTGATTAAAACATTTTTGAATTACCTACATTAGGAAACAATGGTGTTGCTACAAATATTCTATACAATGGTAATGATTGTGACCTGAGAAATGCAATATTTCAAAAGAATTCCTAGATATTAAATATTAAATGGAACATAGAGGTAGTTGCGATTGGTGATACTATAAGAAATTGAAATTGATCATATATATAGTTTTTTATATTGGTATCATACTATATTTATGAAGGACGCCTCATCAGCGTGTTTAACTCCAACTTTCAGAAACGCGCGTTCCTTAATAAAGTTACCACTGCAACACATGGCAACATCAACGACCCGAGAAACGTATTTCAATTATCGATCTGACAGGAGTACCATATGTTATGTCAAATGAAATATCACTAACGAATGTTCGACCATTTTACATCATCAATAGGTCTTTTCATTTAGATGACAAATGACAATCGTTGTTTACATCTCGCCTCCAACGACAGTGGCGGCGAAATTTTTTTTAAGGAATTATTCAAATTATTGTTGTTGACATTGACATTTCTCATTTGTTGTTGATCAGGAGAATAATGTGCATGCAGAAAAAAAATCAAATTGATATCATGTTGAAGAAAGCAGGAAATAATGGAACAAAATGTACACAAGGTTTCTACAGCAGAATGATTGAGTTATAAATAGTTTTCATCTATTATTTATTCTCCACTGAGCACCATTGACGACATGAAAAATAAAAATACAACTTTACCAGGAGCCTCTCATTCAACGATACAACTCTGTGGCTTTAAATTTACCGAAATGAAGGAAAAGTCTCACTACCTGATTCAGGTAATATGTGGTAGGTCTAATCTACATGATTTATTTTTTTAAATGTAACTACACTCTCAATCTGGAGGCTTATTTTCCATGCTGTTACTGTAAAGTGGTAGCGAAGCTAATGACTATTATTGAAGTATGTAGAAAAGGTTCAGTTTAGGAGGAACATTCTGATCTTGGTGTGCATGAAATTATTTGGAGGCTTCTTGATGCTGTTACTGTAAGTGGAATGGAAGATATAATGACTATTGAAGTATGTGGAGAAGGTTCATCAGTTTAGGAGGAACATTTTGATATTATGGTGTGCATGAGAGTTTTAATATCAGGCATTGATGTTATACAAAGGGATTAGTTCAGTAATAATTTTCATTATATTTTGAATAAGTACTTATTACATAAGATTTTGCTCAATTTTGTATACTTCCATACCAAAATTCCAACAGTCAGAACATTTCTGCTTGGACTCATTGATAAGATGCTGAGAGAGGGCATTAGTTTCTAGAGGCAAGCAGTATAAGCTTACTATTTCAATTACCACCTATCTAGTAGTATATTGAAAATATTTAATTTTTGTTCTGTACTCAACTATATCATATATAGTCACAGATTAACAATAAGGTTTGTTAATCTGTGACATAGTCATCTATGAAAATATACAATAGGTACTTTGGATTATCAAAGAATAGTCCTCTGGGACAGAAATTGTTCAAAGCTTTCTTTAATATGAATAATCAACACATTATTTTGTATCTGGACAAAAGGCCACATTTGATTATTCACAAGCAAAATAAAAATCAAGACCATTCTGAGTTATTTAATTATTATAAATTCAAATTAGTGAATAATATCAAGGAATACATAAAGAATGTCAGATCATTTTCTGATATCAAAATGATAATACTCCTGTTCAAAATTAAGGCACCACTCACATTTCTTTGAGTTTTAAATTTTTCTACCATAGCATTTAATTTTGCTCAAGTTCTCAATATTTGAATAAGGATAACTCATCCTCAATGCAATACTCTCTGATTACCCTTATTTATATATTATTATCCTAATAATTTACTAGAAATTGCAATATAAAGAATATATCAAAATGATTATTAATGACTACAGGTGTATTATCTAATGCCATATGCTTACAATATAAATCAAACTATTTGAAAGCTTGAAAAGTCCAGTCTGTAACATAATGTTATATGCAGCAATTTCTGATAAATTTGTGATTACTTCATTAGATCATTAAACATAATATTCAAATTATAACTAACATATATCATTCATTTATTAATCAGTTTTGCTGTGAAAATAATAAAGGAAAGCACATTTCATAATTAGGTATTTTCGAAAAATTCATACATGACAGCATTCCTGATTCACAAATTTATTACAATTCATTATTACTGTTTCACTCCTAGAAAGTCATGAAAACAAAATATAAACATTTCAAAATTAACAGATCATTTATTCATTAGTTTTGATGTTAGAAATAAAAGGGAGCAATTGTATAGTTATTATATCAAAAAAAAACATCACTATATCTTTACTGATTCTCTTCTAGAAAATAATTAGAAGAAAATATGAACATTGCAAAATAACATAGAACATTAATGTATTGAAAATAAAGGGTAGCAAATGTTATAAGTTATTACATCAAAAAATTGTTCACACTACATCTTTACTGATCCACTTCCTCTAGAAAATAATTAACACAAAATATGAAAATTTAGCAGTAACAGAACATTTGATGAGTATTAAGAATGAAGCCAGCAAATATATTTACAGTTGTTATTATATTGAAAATATATGATTCACTTCTAGAAAATAACTAAAACAAAATATAAACATTACAAAATAAAATATATCATCGATGAATTATTTTTGCTGAGTATTAAAAATGAAGGGGAGCAAATGTTATAACAGTTATTACATAAAAAATTCTTTACACTACATCTTTACTGATTCACTTCTTGAAAATGATTGAAAGCAAATTAAGAAAGAGATTTAGAACTAACACAGAACATTTATTCATCATTTTTGATAAGTAGGTACTAAGAATGAATCCATCAAATGTAATAATAGTTATTATATCAAAAAAATCATTACTCTACAGCATTAGGTAGTGATTTACTTCTAGAAGTTATTCAAAACAAAATATTGAAATTTAGAACTAACATGGAACATTTATTCATCATTGTTGCTGAGTAATAAAAAATAAAGGGAGCTAAATATAATAATATAATT